ATGCTTGCGTATTGATATGTACATGACGATTGGTTGATGTTTTGTTTTGGGTACTGTAATTGCTATTTATATGAGTAGATTATGTCTCTATAGCCATGCATTAAGTAGGTAGTATTAAGCATATTAAATTGTCACTAATTAAGAAAGATTTAGCAAGTTACATATAATACATTAACATCAATCTAGCATGATTAATATGGTATGTTTACTATTGAGATTCTCTTGAATCTCACCCCTCCTAATCAACTATTTAGGTCAAGCATGATGAACAATGGTTGCATGAAGAGAGCTAAGAGATTAATGCAAAGAAGTAGAGATTGTTAGTATTACTATGTGATACTTAAATTCTCTAGTTATCATAATAGATTAAAAAAACATGCCATTTATGTAATTTAACTGTATATGACATCAGTGGCATGTAAGAATGAGTATGGGATGTAATGAGAATGCATAGATTGATTATGCATGCTTAGATTCTTAAAAGAATTAAAGTAAGAATTGTATAAGAGAATAAAATGGGTCATGGAGCATTCAGTTTTTAGCTTCAATTTGACCTATCAAATGATGAAATCAAACCAAAAATTTTAGCAGACATATAGTCCACACACAGCTTTAAAATGAGAGGTAGATCACCTTAATTAGATGTGTATACAAGGAGATATGATTTTTCAAATTTGAGGCACTAATATGGAAGTTCCAGATTAGACTAAATAACAGTAATTTTTATGAATTAAACTGTATGAATTGGCAAGAGATAAGCCCAGTTGTTTTTTTCTTAAAAAGCATTGAAGGAGCATCGAGTAGAATTTGGAGCACCTCCATACAATTTTTATAAAATTAGTTATGATTTTTCAAAGTTGGACTTGTAATCTGGAAATATGCACAATAAACAATACCCTGAGGACCTAAAGGAAATTTTAATTTTTGGGCCCAAGTAAAGCTTCTGCATAACCAATTCACTTCCCAACGCATACTCTGAGAGGTAAAGTAAGACGTTCAACAAAAGTTGCCGCTGTCATTTAGTGGTGACTTTTGTGTTGCTACTGAAGGGTCTTTCACCGGTGACAATGTCGCCATTGAAACTATACTTTTTGTAGTGACTCACTTCGTCACGGCTGATAAGTTTCAGTGATAGTTGCTATGGCAATAACTCGATTGTTGCCATTGAAAACTTTCAATGGCAACTTTTTCACTTTTAGCGACAACTTTGTTGCCACTAAAAGTCAATTTTTTGTAGTGTCAATTCTAAAGAGTTAACTTCAAGAATTGATGTTGTACCAGAAACTATTTGTTAATATGGTAAGGATCTCAATCTACTAAGGAATGGAACACAAATTCGAATATCAGAAAACGCATTTGTTGGAAAGGTTTTAATCTAACGTCTCTGGTCTGACAAAGATTAATAAGTTGACTATAGGAAATGACGAGTTTACTTTAGCGAATAACAATTTCAGTAAATCAATCATAATTTGGCTGAGGGGCATTTCAAACATTTTACCAAGATTTCATATTTGCAATATGGGACCGGGTCTTTATTCTGCTATTTTTCAAATTTAGGGTCCCAAATCGCATTTTTACATATTCAGGAATCTTTATTTACCATTTTCCCTTGATTTTTCCTATTAATAATTTTTCCAAATAATTATTTAAATTTTAAATTATAGACTTTTCTTTTTCCTTTTTATTTAGATTATAACTGGAAATAAATTTTTAATCTCATCTCACCCATGTCACACTTAATATGACACCATTGATTTATTTCAATAAAGATAATATGTCAAATTGTCTAAGTATTATCAGAATAAAATTGAGAAAAATCAAGGATTTTCTCCCCTATATAAGTAAAAGTTACCATCAATTGTTTTATTTTATTTTTATTTGAAATGTGCGCTGTAACGCATGAGACTATTGAACAATCTTGGAAAGGTCCCCACAACCTAATAATTACCATAACTTTAACTTGCATAATTCAACATAAAGAATTCTTAATGTAATAAATTCAATTGAATTTTTATCGAATATAAATTAAAAATTTACATTTATTGTTATTATTATTATAGTCGTATATGTAATTAAGACAAATTTTTATATGGTAGTTATAAAGTCAAACATAATTTCTAGGAATTGTGAGTTTTTTCTTGGAAGGAATTATGTGAGGTATTTTTCTATATAAGAAACCCTTCACTTTGGTTATGAAGCCACTCATCCCAAGCCAATTGAAAGCTTTTCTTCCTCCTTCCTCAAACGAAAGCTTATGGATCCCTTCACTATGTCGTCAATCACCACAGCACCAGTGCCTCCAGTGAAAGCCGGACAAAGCTGGAGACTCCCCCCGCTGGGCTCCCACCACTTTAGGCCCCACTCTGACAGTAACTCCAGAATTACCAGCTACAATAAGCTGGCTCCATTTGAGCCTTTTGACGTAGACTTTATTGATGACCCTCTTCCTCCGCTTCCCGACCTTTCCATTGACCCAACCACATCGGTGGAGTTGCCCACTACCGCTGATTTTTCGCCAGAGGAATTGAGCTACCTACACTCCAGGCTCAACATGCCACTAGGGTCCCTTGGGGACCAAATCCAGAGCTTGTCTATGGACTCCCCTTTCATGGACTACATCACAGGCGGTGGAGATTTCATTGGAGCAACCGAGAATCTTGCAGGAATGATGCTATTCCGGTGAATCCGGTGGTGAATCAGGCGCAGGTTGTTTTACATGGATGCTTCAACTACTGTGTCCACGGAGGTTGATGTGTCTATAGCAAATGAAGTGAAAAAAGCCATGCCTATTGATAAGATCACCAAAGTAGCTATGTTAGATCCCAGCGAGCTAAGAGGTTGATAAAGATGCTTCTCTTTTTATCGGTTATATCTTCATATTTTACTGTATATTTATATGTAATAATCAATTTGTTTTCACTTTATAGGTACAAATTCTTCATTCAAAGAACACCCAGTTTTCAACAAAATGAAAAAAAAGAACCCCAGTTTGATACTACTGTAAACTTCGTCTTTTGTTTTCTTAAATCGCTTAAGAAAATCTAGTGTCATTCTTAATGAAAAATAATACTACAAGTGGTGAAGTTGGAGGCACACATATAGTTGAACCAGATGCTAAACATGTTTAAAAATCTGGCATGTATATACGGAATGAAAATTAGTATGAATTACATAAATCACGGCTTGTGTGAATAGTATGATTTGCAATGCGAATTTGATTCTTGAGTATTAATTGATGATAATGAGTGTTTGTGTATAGGATTCTTGCAAATAGGGAATCTGCTGCTCGGTCTAAAGAAAGGAGGACTCGTTACGCAATGGATCTAGAGAAGAAGGTGCAGATACTTCAAGCACAGTCAACTGAGATCTCTGTCAAGCTTGCGAAAACCAAGGTCTGTGTATAACAAAGGTTTCTTAGCTTTAAATGTTGAAAACAATTTTCAATTTATCTCAAAAGAGACATAGCTTTCCTATCCAAGTTTTCTTTAAAGTAGTTCTAATTTGAAGAATCGTATAACTTGTTTATTTAGGTGTATTCTTTTTTTTTTTTTTCAAAACTAACTTTCTATATATATCTAGTTAAATACGAGCCGAATCTAAAGGATTATCAAAACTTATATTTATTCATATTGTGCATGAAATTTATTCAGTTCTATATACGTATGCTGCGTGCATGTAACAAATCATATAGCAAATATAAGTTTTTCTTTATAGTATCTAACCCTCCGTCCCAATAGAAGAGAGGACCAATACATAGTCACCTCTATTTTAGCCACTTGGGGTATAGAATACACATTTGAGTTTTCTTAAAAAAAAAAAAAAGTTTTGATTTCAGGAATCATTTGACGTGTTTATTTAATTATATTCTTATTTTTCTTTAATAGCAGACTTTTCATATATCTAATTAAACTCTTGCATTACCTAAAAGATTATCATAAACTTCATTCATATTGAGCATGAAATTTAGTTATAAGTACGCACGCTACGTATGAATGACAAATTGTATAATAAATATATGATTTATTTAGACAATATTTAATCCCTATAGAAGAGAAGACCCACACATACTCGCTCCTATTAATTATGGCTACTTGGAGTATAGAGCACACATTTAAGTGATGCTTATTTGTGACTTATCTACCAGTTCCAGTTCGGAACATCTCATCTTCTCTTCCCTCCTCTTCCCTTTTTCTATCCCTTAGATTAATATTTCAACGGCTGAGATTTAAATTTTTCTAAAATTATTATTAAAATATTAAATTATAAAATAAATAAATAATAAATTACAAGCAGTTAACATTTAATACTAATGGTTTGCAAATGCACTAAATATTTTAAAAAAAATTTATAGAAAATTTATAAAAAATTTAAAATCTAAACTGTTGAAAAGTATTAATCCAATAGTTAGAAGGAAAAAAAAAAACGAAGGAAGATGATGGAAAGGGAAGAGGAGAGGCTCCGCTGCCTTTGGAGAAAAAAAAGGCTGTAAAAGGATAAATGATGGTGCCCTTAATTTAGTAGTTATCTGATTCATTACCTCATGTTCCTTTGATCGATTCTACTTCCCATCTATTGCAGACGGAAAATTCGGACCTGAAAGCTAAGAAGAAGGGGATCTTACGTGAGATAGAGTTTATGGAAGAAACAGCTAAGCTTAGAGAAGGTACTTGATGTATTGTTCCAGATTTTCCAAGTGGGGTTTGTTTTCTGCCATTAATCAAATAAAGATTGTTATTAGAAATAAAATTTATCGAACTATTCTATATTTTGCTTCCAAAATTCTTGAAGTTATAGGAAAACCACATTAATTACTTGAATTTAGTGCGCAAAGATTCTTGGCATATGAATAATACACTAATTCTTCCCTTGCCTGCAGAACTGAATGAAGCTTTAAGCTATAAGCTGAGGCAACTTAAGAAAGAATATGCACAAAAAGTTGCATATAAGAACCACAATTTTCGAGGGTTACTCTCTAAATTTTCTTCCCAGCTAGCAGTTTATCAAGTGAATTTTCTTCGATACTCGCGGCTAGAACAACTTGGCATGCCTCCGTCGCACTCAAATCAGCAAGCATAAGATTTGCATTATCTTGTGGATTTTCTTCATAAGTTTAAGAAGGTTGAACTTTGCGACTCGTTTTATTCGAGAGTTTATTAATCGCTCCCTTAATTAGTCTCTTGTCTGTTATGTTCTTGTCAGGTAGACTTATGTTAAGGGCGAACTAGAATGTGAAAGATTGATGCTTGATAACAAATGAAACTATTTTACTGCATAAGCTCCTTCTAGTTAGATCACATTGATGAAATTTGACTAGTTACGTCTTATTTTTTAAGAAAGTTTATTCTCATTTCAGAACTTAAATTTGAGTATAATATGTGCTAAAAAAATTGAATATAAGATGACTGGTATGCAAAGAATTTTGAAAATTTGAAGGCGTATTTATATTTGCCTCAAAAATCACGCCTTCAAAGCTTCATCAGATTACGTATTAACCGATGCCTCAATTCTTGAAACCCGACACATTTATGTGTAACATCACTTACATGGAACCAGTTTCAGTACTTATTGCTTTGATGAGTACCCTAAGCTTATCAAATCTGAACCGTTCATATCTCATTTGGATGTTCGAATTTGATTTCTTTTTATTTTTATTTTTTAAAATTTTTAATATGTATAGAATTTAAAATAAACATAATCTCTTAACTATCATTTTTTTTAAAAAAAATAGTTCTTTCTATTTAAAAATAAATAATTAAGATTTTAAATTTAGATCGTTCAAATCAATATAGACAGTCCAGATCTGATGACTATTAAAACTAGTTCCCATTTTATATGCATGCAAGTTAGAATGAATTAGCATTTCTGAACTTAATAGCAAAGGCATCCTTCTAATGAAAAGCAAAGCAATGATTCCTTCAACATATGTGCATATACCAATATTGGCGCTAAAACGAGTTCAAAGAATTACAAAAAGGGTGAAACTTAGCTCCTAACCATTACAATATTCATAAATGTTAAACCACCCGCCACAGTAAGATTTCTAGGGCATGTACATAATCTTCATTACTTCCTATCCCTACGGTCACATTGGTTGAATCATCATTAACAAGTATCCAAGCGTGTGATTCAATGCAGTTTAGGAAAGCATTATTTGTGGTGCGAGAGCTAAGACTTACATAATAATAAGCAGAACCGGCACCTGTGAATTATTCCTAGTGGGAGCCAGCATGCGCTCACCACTGGAGTGGTTAGAACTGGGCAAGATGTAGGGTGTGTTTGGATTGGCGGTAGAAAAAATGACTTTTATTCTATTTGTTTTGTAAAATTCAATTAGGGTAAAAGTCAATTAGTATAATGTGATTTTATGTTTGGATTGACGTTTCTAAAATGTCAATTTAAAAAGTTAAAACTTATTTAGATGGATAATTAAAAAATAAGTTTAGATATAAAATGATGGAAAATGACATAAGTTTTATAATATACTACCTCCAGTTCTCAATATAAGACCTAGTTAACTAATTTGGAAGACTAATGAAGTTAAATAAGTTACTTTAAAGTGTTTTATATTTATCATTTTTCTTCAAATTAATTTATTTGACTTATAAACTTGTGTGTAATCTAAACATTTAATATACATATAAGTATTTTAGAAATATCATGTAACATACAATACAATTAAGTAATTTATTTAGCTTCCTTAATCTATTCAAGTTAGTCTTTTGGGGTCTTATATTAAGGAGTGAAGGTGGTATATGATATGTATACAAGTTGATAAATTTTAGAAAAATAATAAATTAAATTAATTAAATTTTATTAGTTAATTTTTTTCATCTTAGAAAAAAAAATCAAATTATTAGGTCAAGATAGGACCTATTTAAATACTCTAATCTTTCTTTTTCATCTTTATTCCTTCCTCTCTCTCCACGTTACAAACACCAAAAGCTAGAAATCCTTGCATTATAACGCACTAAGCTTTTTGTCCAAAAGTTAGTTTGAGTAGTAGCCTACCGAAACAAACTTTTATTACCAAATGAGTCACCAACATTCGTCTCTAGTTTCCTGGGCACGTTATCTCTCCAAAACGGAGATCCAAATGAGTGCTTAGTAGTTTTCACACCATTTCAAACCAAGCTACAATCTATGTCAAACACATTAGCTTTTGATGATTTTGAGGGTAAGGCAACGAGAAGCCTTAAAAAGATATGTACAAAAACTTGATGTTACACGGGTCGTAAAAATTATACTAGCAAATCAAGGTCGATCATTCAAACAACTCAATTAACTGGTGTTTAGGCAATAAAAATCCTCTTTTCCTTAAGTTGAATAAATCAAGATTTAATGAAATTGAGTGAAGAGAAATTACAATAAAGAAAAACAAAGTTTTATCAAATTAACATAAACAAATAGTAGGAAGACTAGCCTAGAGTCACTAATATGCTTCTTAAACTTGTTTCACTGGATTGATTAGCTTTAATGTCAAGTTTGTTAATCTCCAGTTTAACTAGCTACAACTGCTTGTTGGTCCACTTATAACTCTATCTTAAATTAAGTATGTTATCTTTCACGTTGAAGGAAATAATATAAATAGAGAAAGGAAACATACCAGGTCGGTTCTGGGTCGTGATGCTGGTAGCTCACACAGTATCCTTACTACCAGAGTCTTGATAGAATGGCACAGCAGATGCACTAGAGAGAGGAGAGGAGACACTGGAAAGCTCAATGGTTAGAGTGAAAAGAATGGGTGGAAGCACCTCCTATTTATAGGGCCAGCATGACCAGGTGCAATCTTCCCTATTTATTGTAGGATAATATTTCAATTCCCTGATCAACAATTAATATCTGATTGATTTCTGTCCAATCAGTTTGATTGAATATTCCCTAATCAATCATAAATTGCTTCTGATTTGTGATTGATTTTCTTGATCTGAGAGACTCTCTTCTCTTGGATCAAGTAGTTCGGCCTATCATAGCCCATCAAGGGCAGACTCGGGCCTAATATCTAACATCTCCCAGTCGCACTTGATAGGTCGACCATTATGTGATTCTCCTTCTTATTTCATACTTGGTGCTCTATTGTGACGCGTGGGCATGACGTCTTCTATTTTGGATGCTCGTTTACTAGAAACTCCTGAGGCGAGCCAATGCACAAGGATATCTCCGGTATGTTTGGATGTTGCCTCAAATGTCTTAGATTACCCTTACACTTTTCACTTTTCTCATGGTGTGTCTAATCCCTCTCGAGTTAGGCTTATCTAACTCAAATCGCCCACTTATATGCATAGCATCCACACTTGTGAGCTACTCAAGATGCTCACAAGGGACATGTCACAGATACCATTATAATTGTGTAATTCAGGGTTAATCTTCCTTCTAACTAGTCATCATTCAAGTATAACTTCATTGCTTTCCAAGTATTTGACCCATTAGACCGGATCTCTCATGATCATAAGGTGCAAGCCAAGATAGCAAGTACTAGGCTATCCCTTCATAACACTATCTAAGTCTTAAGGGCATCATGAAAGGTTTGTTCCTTTTAGGGACTCACACTGAACTGGGATAAGGGATCTTCCTACTCGCATCCTGGTTGCGGTTGATAGAAGCACATGCAGTATGAATTGCATGTCACGATGTTCGTCTTAATCTGTTAAGAGTGTGTGTCATGTTTCTTTAACACCGTGCATATTATAGTTCTAGGCATACTTAGTGCCTAAACTAGAGCTCTTCACTTGACACATAACGACATCCTCCAAGATGAGTTCTTTATCTGGCCACAGGCTCCATGAATTGTATAGATGTTTATGATTTGACCTATTTCGTGTATAGGTCTTATCTCAAATTCACTTAAGGCGAAATGTGTGTGATGATACTTCTTAACCATTCCATGGCTCTTGCTACATGGCTGGAGATCACGTAATGTCTCATTTTCTGTGTTCCTCGTGAACGTTTGAAGGCGGTTACTTGTGTGAGAGTCAACCTTATCCTGTACAACACTACAAGTTTTGTATACCATTGGATGATTTGAAAAAGAAAGTGCATAACTTTATTGAATGAAAGAAAGTTTCAATACATCAGGTTCTACCCATGCCCATAGCCTTTACATGTTTAATGAAAGGGTCTCTTGCTATGGGCTTTGTAAGGGAATTTAGCTAACATCTTTTGAGTGGAAAGGTGTTGAACGTGACTTTTTTTGAGCAATCATATCTCTTACAAAATGATACTTAATGTCCATGTGTTTGGTCCTACTGTGATATTTTGGATCCTTAGCATAAGTTATTGCTGCTTGGCTATCACAGTGTATGAAAACTAGTCCCTTGTTCATGTCATTCATTGGTAATTGCTCCAAGAACCTTTTGAGCCATGTAGCTTCTTGAACGGTGGCAGAACACCCACCATATTTTGCTTCCATGGAAGATAAAGATACGTATGTCTGTTTCTTACTTCTCCAGGAAATTGCTCAGTTACTTGGGAGGAATGTATATCTTGAAGTAGAGTAGCACTCATAGAGATCTCCTGCTTAATCAGCATCAAAGAATCCTTCCAAGCGTAGGTAATTGCCATCATAGCACAATTCATAGTCCAAGTTTGATTAGAAACGGCTTACAAGTCTAACTACAAAACATATGTTTGGTCTTGTACATAACATTGCATACATCAAACTGCCAACTGTACTTGAGTATGGGACTCTTTTCATGTGCTCTACATCAGATTCTTTTATAGGGTATAGATGCTGTTGGAAATTGTGCCCTAGGGGCCAATCATTGTGTTAAGAACATTGTTGATTTATGAATTTCTTAATTATGTTATCATATTATTTGCATGTTTAGTGTGATGACTATCCTTGGATAACTCATGATTTTATCCTAAATGTCCCTGGTCGGTCATCTATGTGGGAGCAGAGATGAAATAAGACTAGTATGACTTTGAAGATGTATAGAGATATAAATCAAAGTCATAGGCACATGTAAGAGTACAAGGTGTTGGACCGACCCGCTATGAGAAAGCTGCATGGGTTAAGTTATAAGCTTCTCTCATATACAAACCATGTCACTATGCCCTTTGACTTGAGATCATCATGG